TGGTAAATTCTTTCAGGTTTTGTTTATCTGAGAATGTTTTTATCTTTTCTTCCCATATGAAGGATAATCTTGCTAGGTACAGTATTCTCGGCTGAAATTGCTTTTCCCTTAACACTTTGAATATATTTCCCCATTCTTTCCTTACTCACATTGTTTCTGATGAGAGGTCTGCTGTTAGCCTGATGGGATATCCTTTGTAGGTAACTTGCCATTTCTCTCTTGCCAATCTTAGTATCTTGTCTTTGTGGTTTTGGTCAATCTGGCTATAATGTGTTTTGGAGAAGATCTTCTTCGGTTGATTCTATTTGGGGCCCCTTGTATTTCTTGGGTCTGGATCTTTGAATGCCTCTCTAGGTTTGGAAAGTTTTCTTGCAGGATTTCATTGAATAGATTATCAATGCTCTTATGAGTCTCTTCACCTTCTGGGATACCAACTATCCAGATGTTTGGACGTTTGATGGTTATCTAGTATTTCTTGTATATTATTCTCATTTTGGGGGCAATTTTCTCAGTCTTCATGGTGGATTTTTCTAGGCCAGTGATTCTGTCTTCTACATCGGAGATTAGATTTTCTATATGATCTAGTTTGCTCTTAATACTTTCAAGGGAGATTTTGACTTCCTGTGTTATAGCGTTCATCTCTAACAGGTCCATTTGATTCTTTTTTATAGTGTGTATTTCCTCTTTTAGATCTTGCAAGAATTTCCTCACCTCTTGGAACTCATCAGCTTCTTTCTCCTGCCTCTTCTGCAGTTCATTGTCTCACTTCTCTTCCATCTCTGTTAGCTTTGTCATTATGAATATTCTAAATTCTTTATCAGACATTTCTATGATTTTCATTGTTCTGTCTGAGGATGAAGAGGACTTATTATTTTACCTTGGAGGAGAGAAATTTTCTTGCTTTCCCATATTTCTTTTGACCTTGTGGTGATTTCTGGTCATCTGATAGATGGTGCGCTTCTTCCTAATTCTTGAAGTTTAATCTGAGCATTCAGAGGCGTGCAGAAGGAAATGATCTGCAATCTCTCTTCCGTTCCATTTTCACTCTTTGTACATCAGAATCAGTGGGAATAGAGGAATATACTTACCCTAATTGTATTCAGATGTTTGGAGGCTGTTCACTTGGACCTGTCTAGACACTTAGTGTGTAGAGGCTGAGCAGCCAATGAATAAAGATAAAGAACTAGAGAAGAGGAAAGAAGAAGTGAAAATATAATAAAAAATAAGAAAAAAATTTAAAAGATGATAAAAAAAAGTTAGATTTTAATTTTAAAAAGCAAAAAATGAAAACCATGAGGCACACATGTACTGTGCGAAGTCAGTATTTCAGAGCTGAAGTTCAGTATCCATCTCAGGATGGACCTGACCTAGGTTTGTGCCTTTCCTAACACAATAAAGCAGGGGCTTGAAAGCCCAGAGAATACTTTATCTTAAAAAAAAAAAAATTAAAAGTCACAGAGAGACACAGCGAGACAGAGAGAGGCAGAGATAAATGGAGATAAGGAGGCAGAGGTAGCCCTATTCACTAGAAATGAATCTGGAGTAAGAAATCTCAGCAGAAAATTTTCATTTTTGGTCAAGGAAATCAATATTTCAGGCCTTAAGTTCAGTATCCTGACTAAGTGTTATTTATCCATCTTCATATCCCTGGTAGTTAGCACAGTCTCTAAAACACAGAGGTACTTAATTTATGTTTTTAAAATTTTACCAACTAAAGAAAATTTGTTACCTGGATACTGGACTTTGCCTATCTTCTATGGATTGATCCGATCCCCTGGATCCTGAACTAGCTCAGCTTTTCTCTAAGCAGTCACAAGAACCAGAGCATAGATACTTTGTACTCAAATCAATCTCCAGTGATGAGTCCTATGCTGACTTGCCAGTAAGCCAGTTTGTCCCTGGCATGTGGGTTACCTACTCCCATTCTCTCTCCTGTACTTGTGACTTGGTAGTAATGATCTCTGCAGATTTTTTTTCCTCTTTTTTCTTTTGTGTTTTTGTTTGTTTTTGCTAGAGAGTACATGTCCTCACCAGAGAGAGAGAGGGAGAGAGAGAGGGAGAAAGCACTCCCCAGTGAGCCATGCTAATGCAAAATCCCTTCTCCTGCATTTCTTCATCCTGTCAGGATTTTTAGGCAGGCACATACATATGTCCAGCATGTTTTTCAAACTGTTGGGTGCAGAATTTGAACTGCACAGTGGAATCTTGCACCTTTAATCACTAAGCCATGGGGCTAGGCCAGAATGACTTAATAATCTATAATAACAGATGGGAAAATTCAGATATCATGAATTAAGTTACTTCATGCAATCTGATATCTGTATTACAAATATACATGGACTGAAGAAATTGGCAAGTTGGCAGTAATGAAGGAAAAAAAAAAGTGTTTCTTACCAGGGCCCTTGGCTCTTCCAGGAAGCAGATGGCCCAGTCGAAATATAATAACTCTCTCATACTCTTGTACAACCTAAAAGGAAATTTAATACTTTCAAAACACTCCAAGAAAGAAAAAGTCTTCCAGAGGTCTTAGCACAAGAGTGATCTTAGCTATCAGAAATCTTTTGTTTTGAAAAGCAAGGACAAAATTTCTATTGATATTTAATGTTTCAAAATCTGTACTTATTGAATACTGAATTTCAGAAGCCAATGAGGTGGTATATTGGCCATATTAATTTTTGAGCATATGGGCAGAATTCTGATTAGAGACTCATGATTATCTAAAAAGTAATGTTTCCACTATATCCAACATTCCTTAATTTGAAGAAGACTTATTTCATTATTAGCTTTTTCTTTTTGGAGAGGTTTTTTTTTTTGTTTGTTTGTTTGTTTGTTTGCTATAGGGTGCGTGCGCTTGCCAGACAGACAGAGGGAGACAGAGAGACAGAAAGCGAGAAATCAACCCCTGGGGGGATGGCCACGCCGCAATCCCTTCTCCTCCATTCTCCTCTTGGGATCTTGGGCACGCACGCACACGTGCCTGGCGTGAGTTTAAGCCACTGGGTCCGGGACTCAAACTGCAGTCGACTACGTGGGAGTCCAGCGACATAGGCATTACGCTAACTGCTGGTCCCTACATTATTAGCTTTTATATGTGTCACTCATCAGCTACATATTTAACAGAAGAGGGGATATACACTTTTTAAAAAAAATTTTCCAGAGGGTGTGTGCACACACTGAAGAGAGAGAGAGAGAGAAAGTGAGAAAGCACCCCCATGGCACATGGTCATGCCACAATTCTTTGTCCTTTATTTCTTCCTATTTTTGGGATTTGGGGCACGTGCATAAACACCCTTCATGTTTCTTTTTCTTTTTTTCTTTTTAAGGTTTTTGCCATAGGGTACCTGCACTTATGGAGAGGAGGAAGACAGAGAGAGACAGTGAGAAGGACAGTGGGAAATGGGGATGGCCAACCTTCAATCCTCTCCTCCTGGGATTTTGGGCACACATGCCTGGTATGATTTTTCAAGCTGCCAGGTTCAGGACTTGAACCACAGTCAGTCATGTGGGAGTCCAAGCACCTAAACCACCATGCCATCTGCTGGCCCCTGTGCCCAGTGCATTTCTTAAGCCTCTGGGTCCAGACTTGAACTGTGCAGTTGGTCATATGAGATCCAGCTTCCTTAACCAGGGCTGGCCCAAGGGAGTAAAACTTAACACCATTTGTGATATTTTATTTCAAATTGCAATTTCTTCTGAGGCTGCTTCAAAATTGTTTAAATGAATTTTGATTAGGCAATTCTCATTGGCAATGAATCTAGGAAAAACTGGGTATGCCCTGAAAGTGTGAAGAGATATTTTTTAAATAATTATTTATTTAATCTTATTTATTATTATTCAATTTGACAAGAGAGAGAGAGAGAAAGAGAGAGAATGAGAAAGCAAGCCACCGGGTCCAGTATTTAAACCATAGTCAGGCATATGGAAGTCCAGTATCTTAACCATCATACCATCTGCCAGCCCCATGTAGAGTTTGTTTGTTTTTCCTTAGATTTTTGCTATTGGGGCACATGTGCTTGTCAGAGACATAGAGACAGAAAGCAAGAAATCACCCCGGGGCAGATAGCCACGTGGCAATCCCTTCTCCTCCATTTTCCTCTGGGGATTTTGTGTATGTATGCACGCGCACCCGGCATGAGTTTTAAGCTGCTGGGTCCAGGACCCTAACTGTGGCCGACTACATGGGAGTCCAGCGATGTAAACTTTACACCATCTGCTTGTCCATGTACACTCTAAGACCTTGCTCAAGTGTACCGCTTGGTTCTGCTTTTGTGCCCTCTACCTAATTGGCTTCTTAGGGTTTACCATCTTAAGTGATCAGATTGGAAAGGCTTTTCCATAAACCATGGTAGAGATTTTTTAGTGACAAAAAGATTCTCTGTGGAGAACTATCTATTAGAAGAGAAGCAGTACTGCATTCTACTTTAAAAGTAAACATCGCTTTCTGACCCAGAATCAGAATCTGAGTTCTATTTCCCATTTTTCATTAACTTAGTCTGTTTATTTATATATATGTCCCACCAGACCACAACTCCTTAATAACTTATGGAATTAGTCTTTTTTTTCCCTTTGTGCCTAAAAATGCCTGATATATAATAGGTTTTCATAAATATTTATCAAATGAATGAATTATTTGTGACTTAGAAGTCCATTTTCCTTCCTCATCTTCTCTCCATGTTAAAAAACTCTATAGAATAATAACGAGTCAAATATAAAAATGTAATGATGAGACTGAAAGAAATACATTTTGAAGTGTGCTTCAGGTAACAGGCTCCTCAAGCTCACTGTAAGTCTCCTGAGATCGGGAACGTGTCCTGTTTGTCTTTATGATGTTTACACCTTTTGAGTATGAACACTGCCTTGCTTGTTGAAACAATGAATGAAGACAAATGACTGCATTTGGTTCCTAGAGCATATGCTAACAATTCCTAATTGTTTGGTTCCCTAGCGTTACTTCTTTTCTACATTTATTGGAAGAAACAAATTCTTACTAAAGTTGAAGGTGAGTCTTACTTTAAGACCTTGCTCAAGTGTACCACTTGGTTTTGCTTTTGTGCCCTCTACCTAATTGGCTTCTTAGGGTTTAACATCTTTTTTATTTTTATTTTTATTTTTTTTGAGAGGTTTTTGCTATAGAGCGCATGCACTCACCAGAAAGACAGAGACAGAAAGCGAGAAATCACCCCCCCCCCCAGGGGGGATGGCCACGCTGCAATCCCTTCTCCTCCATTTTCCTCTTGGGATCTTGGGCATGCATGCACACGTGCCTGGCGTGAGTTTTAAACCACTGGGTCCAGGACTCAAACCGCGGTCAACTACGTGGGAGTCCAGCGACATAGCCATTACGCTAACTGCTGGTCCCAGGGTTTACCATCTTCAGTGATCAGATTGGAAAGCCTTTCCCACAAACCATGGCTGAGTCCATACTGGTGGCAATCCTTCAGGGGCTTAAATCACCCTTGAGAAGTGCAAGCTGCCAACTACTTGCTCCTACAGGAGACATACTTAATATTCAAAGATATAAATAGACTGAAAGTAAAAGGATGGAAAAAGATACACCACAGAAACACTATAGCCATACTGGAGAATAGGAGTAGTTATGCTAACATCAGACAAAGCAGGCTTTAATATACAAAAATATTCCTGGCAACAAAGAGGGACACTGTATAATAAGGAAAGAGTCCCTGCATTAGGAAAGTATAACAATGATAAACATACCTACACCTAAAGAGATCTCCAAAATACATGAAGCAAAAACAAAACAAACTGAATGTGGACATAGACAACCTAATAATAATTGGAGATGACACCCCACTTCGAAAAGTGGATAGAACAACTAGACAGATGATCAACAAGGAAATAGCATACTTGAATGACATTGTAATTTATAGCTATAAATACCTTTAATAAAAGAGAAGAGACACCTCAGTACACTGATCTTATATCTTAAAACATTAGAAATGGACCAGCAGGTGGCATGAAGATTAAGACAGCTGGATCCCACATGGCTGACTGCATTTCAAGTCCTGGACCTGGCTGCTTGAAAATCATGCCTGGTGTGTGTGTGTGCATGTACAAAATCCCAATAAGAGAACAGAGGAGAAAGGATTGTGTGGTGGCCACCTTCCCTGGGAGGTAATTTCTCATATTCTCTCTCTGGTGAGCACACTTAAAACACACACGAATGCACACACAGAGGAAATAAAAGAGAAAACTAAATCTAAATCAAGCAGAAAGGAGAAAATAAAGATTAGAGTAGAAGTAAATGCAATAGAGAATAGAAAAACAGTTGAGATAATTAACAGAATCAAAAGTTGTTTGTTGGGGCCAATAGGTGGCATGGTGGTTAAGGTGCTGGACTCCTACATGGCCAACTGCATTTTGAGTCCCAGACCTGGCAGCTTGCTTTCTCACTTTTCCTCTCTCTTTCTCTCTCTCTCTCTCTGGCAATTGCACATGCCCTATAGCAAATTTTAAAACAATAATAAAAAATTTACAATAATCTTAAGTCATTATTTTTAAATAATAGTAATAGTTTTAAATTGTTATAATTACTATTTAAAATAATAAATAATAATAATAATAATAATAAAGTTGTTTGTTGGGGCCAGTAGATGGCATGGTGGTTAAGGGGTCTGGACTCCCACATGGCCAACTATCGTTTGAGTCCAGGACCTGGCCAGCTTGCTTTCTCACTGTCCCTCTCTTGTAAAATTAAAATGAATACATAAATAGATAAGTTAAATAAAGAAGTTCTTTGTCAACAAAATTGATAACAAAACTTAGCTAGACTGATGAAGAAAAAAGGGCAAGATGCAAATGACTGAAATTGGGAATAAAAGAGAGGATCATCACTACTTTTTTTTTAGAGGTTTTTGCTAAAGGGCACGTGCGCTCGCCAGAAAGACAGAGAGAGACAGAGAGATAGGAAGCAAGAAATCACCCCCCGGGGGGGATGGCCACGCCACAATCCCTTCTCCATTCTCCTCTCGGGATCTTGGGCATGCACACGCACGCGCCTGGAGTGAGTTTAAGCCACCGGGTCTGGAACTCGAACTGTGGTCAGCTACATGGGAGTTCAGGGATATAGCCATTACGCTAACTTCTGGTCCCCATCAGTACTGTTTTTAAAGAGATTAAAAAAGAAAAAAGATTGTAAGAGAAAATGCTATGAATGATTGTATGCCAACAAATTAGGTAGCTTAGGTGTGATGCACAAATTCCTACAGATACACACTACCAGAGCTAATCAAGAAGAAAAAGAAAAACTGAAAAGATCTCTAAGTAAAAGACTGAATTAGAAGTTTTAAACTATAATGTGGAGAAAAGGAATCCTTTGTAAACTGTTGGTGGAAATATAAATTGGTATAGCCATTATGGAAAACTACCATATGGTCTAACCATCCCACTTCTAGACATACATCCAATAGAAGTGAAATCGGTGTCTTGAAGAGATATGGGGAACCAGCAGTTAGCGTAATGGCTATGTCGCTGGACTCCCACGTAGTCGACCGCGGTTCGCGTCCCGGACCCAGTGGCTTAAAACTCACGCCGGGCACGTGTGCGTGCGTGCCCAAGATCCTGAGGGGAGAATGGAGGAGAGGGGATTGTGGCGTGACCATCCCCCCTGGGGGGTGATTTCTCGCTTTCTGTGTCTATGTCTCTCTCTGTCTGTCTGGCGAGTGCATGCGCCCTATAGCGAAAACCTCTCCAAAAAAAAAAAAAAGAGATATGCAGCCCATGGTCACTGCAGTATTATTCACAGCAGCCAAGATATGAATCTGGGGACAACCTACAATGCAATATTATTCAGTCTTAAAAATGAAAGAAAGCCAGGGCCAGCATATGGCATAGTTGGTTACGTTGTCGGACGCCCATGTGGCCAACTGCCATTTGAGTCCTGGACCCAATGGCTTGAAACTCATGCCAGGCATGTCCAAGATCCCGGGAGGAGCACCGATGAGAAGGAATTGTGGCATGGACATCCCCCCCATGGGGTGATTTCTCACTTTATCTCTCACTGTCTCTGTCTCTGTCTCTTTGGCAGTGCATTTGCCCTAAAACAAAAAACTCTTAAGAAAAAAAAAAAAGTAAAAGAAATCCAGGCCTAGCAGTGGTGTGGTGGTTCAGGTGTTGGAGTCCCACGTGGCTGACCATGGTTCATGTCCCAGACCTGGCAGCTTGAAAATCCTGTGTGTATGCGTACCCAAAATCTCAAGGGGAGAATGGAAGAGAAGAGATTTCAGGGAGCCATTCCCCCTAGGGTAACTTCTTACTTTCCCTCTCTCTGTCTCTCTTTCTGGTAAGCACACGTGCCTGTGGCAAAAACCTAAGAAAAATAGAAAAACAAAAGAGAGAGAGAGAGAAAGAAATCCTGCCAGTTGCAACAACATGGTTGAACCTGGTGGACATTATACTAACTTTAAAAAGCTAGACATAGACAAATACCACATGATCTCGCTTACATGTGGAATCTAAAAAAAAAAAAAAAAATTCACAGAGGCAGAAAAGAGAACAGAGGTTAGCTGTCAGATCCGCTTCACTGTCCGAAGACTTTCTCTGCTTGCTTTTGTTCTCCCTCTACTTAATCTTTCATGGACAATGCCTTCTAATACACCCTTTACACTTCAAATTCCACCTGGGTGTGTACTTCTTGAGTGGATTCAGGTCTTCATTTACTTCAGGGACAGGTGTGTATAACCCCCTGTGAGCCAGTGATAATTACTACCCGTGATCTACAGCAACTGCCTGAAAAGTTTTCTGAAAAAGTCAAGAGAGGATATTGCAATTTAGTCTTGGGCATCTTTGTGTCACCAACTGTAGATGAACTAGGCATAACCTCTACCTTCAAGGGCCTCTCAGTCTAATGGGAGAGGTGGTCAACAAATTTTACACATGTGATAAATGCCAGAATGAAGTGAAAGCAGAGTGACCTGGGAGCATAGGAAAGTTGAGAGTTCTCAACTCTCTCAGCATAGTCTGGCAGGGTTGAAAAAGGCTTCACGGCATGTTTGAACAAGGTTTTAAAAGAGTAAGATCTCTTTCAGAAGATGAGAGGTGGGCACATAAGGGCAATCTACACAGAGCATGCACCCAAACAGCATGGTATGGCCAGTGGGAGGCACTGGGAAACTGCCTACTAGGTTTTCATGAGAACTCACCTTTATGCAGAACCAGATGGAAAAGGGGAAGGTCATGATGACAAAGAGCAGGGAAGTGAGGACAAGAAGCCACTCACAGGCCCCTAAACCAGAGGACTTGGTACCTGGAAAAAAAAAAAAAGAAAGAAAAGAAAAACTATTGAGTATCAGTATATCATTATATTCACTGACTAGCACTTATTCATTCTTGGTACTGGGGTCAGAGCAGCTTGGACACTTTGCTAGAAATATTAGAAGGAGCCAGACATTAGAGCAGCCAGAGCTTCCAGGCCCTGGGATGTTGTCTACAGGGAGGGCCTCTGGAAGGGAGAGGCAATGGGGTAAACTGAACCAGGCACAGAATCTGGGTCTCAGTTTTGGCTCTACTATTCCATATCCAGATGACCTTGAAGCAGAGCACATGACCACTTCAACCTCAGTTTCTTCATCTATACTAATTATCTCATAAAAACTAACTTATAGGATATATTGCATATCTCAGGCATAACAGTGAAATGAAAAACACACATAAAAAAATTTGAACCAGGCCAGCCTGTGGCAGGGTGGTTAAAGTAGTTAGATCCCACATGACCAATTATGTGGCTCAAGTCCCAGATAAGGTGGTTTGAGAAGCACGCTAGATGTGTGTGTGTGTGTACATGCCTAAAATACAAAGAGAAGAATGGAGGAAAAGGGATTGCAGAGTGGCTGTCCTCCTGGTCGGTGACGTCTCACTTTCTCTTTCCCCCTCTTTCCATTTCTCTCTCTGGAAAGTGCACATGGCCTATGGCTAATTGAAAACAGTACAAAACACTGAACCATGCTTTATGTGTGTCAGTTTCCTCCATGAGGAAACTTCCCCATTCGCTGTCTGCAATTCTTCCATTAGAGTTTCATTTTTGGATTAAGGTGTTGATCACCAGATGGTCTTTGAAAAATCACCCAAATGGGGGACCAGCAGTTAGCATAATGGCTATGTCGCTGGACTCCCATGTAGTCGACCGTGGTTCGAGTCCCAGACCCAGTGGCTTAAACTCACATGGGGCGCATGTGTGTGCGTGCCCAAGATCCCAAGAGGAGAATGGAGGAGAAGGGATTGTGGCATTGCCATCCCCCCTGGGGGGTGATTTCTCATTTTCTGTCTCTCTGTCTCTGTCTGTCTTTCTGGTGAGCGCACGCACCCTATACCAAAAACCTGTCCAAAAAAAATCACCCAAATGGGGTAACGTTAGCCTATTAGTGTCCATAAAAAAAGTGATAAAGAAATGGATTATGAGCATCCAGGATGCTTGGGTGATGAATGAAAAGGTATCAGGGAGGGTCAACCTCAAAAACACAAGCTTTTAGGGGGCTTGCCTTGTTTACATTGTGTCCCCAGGGCCTGGAATAGTGCCTGACACAATCTAGGTTCTCAGTACACATCTACTGGATGTAGGAAGGAAGGGGGTGGAGAGTGACATTGATTTAAATTGAATGGTACAGAAATCTCAAGAATTTTAATCTCTAGGTACTAGAAAATTGGCCAGAGGGATACGTTTCAGTTTTAAAATATCATAAAGTATTAGAAGGTGACTAAAGATTTAGGAAATGGTAAAAAGCCTATTTTAATGAATGGGAAGGAAGGAGATAACTAATTGATAGGCCTGAAAGTGTGATTTCTATGCCAAGAAAGGCATCACCCAATAGATGTGTACACCACTTGAAGAGGTCATATGTGAGCTGCACCAGCACGGAAGCAAACCAGCACTAATGCCATAGAGGGGCACCTCCCATGGCCACCCCACAGAATACAAATCCCACAGAGGACGAGCTCCCTGGCAAAGGGATTTAGAAACTATCGGACACTGCACCTGATCCCAGAGTTTCTCATGATCACCAGCATGTGGAGGCTCTGAGAATCCCTATAATAGAAACACATTCTTAGCTGTGCTTACTATAGTATTTTCTAAACATTTGAACAAGTAATTTTTTCTCCAGTGAACACTCACTAATGTCTAATGCAACTTATTTCTCATGAAACCTACTTTGAGTGATGCTGCTCTGTCAATGTCATGTTCAGTTTAATAATGCTATTCTTCAAGGGCAATGATTAGTAGTATCATTGCCATTTTTAAAATTATTAAGAGTTTATTTTATTCATGACAAAGAGTATACACATACGAGAAAGAGACAGAAGGAGAGAGAAAAGACAGAAGTACCCTTGACAGGGTCTTATCCTGCCATGGTCTCCTTTCCCCAACCCTCCAGCTTGTCAAGATCCTGGGTACACACACATGTACGAAGAGTGTTTTCTGGCCAACTCAGGAATCTGAACCTGCGGTCAGCCCTGCGGCCTCCAGCACTGCAGTTCAGTTTGTTATCAACTCTGCCACCTGGCTAGGCCATATTTCCATTTAAAAAATTATTTAATTTTATTTATCATTATTTCTAGTAATGATAAATTATTAAATGGATATTTAATATCCATTAAAGGGTGTTGAGTCCATGCTGCAGTAAGTACTGAGGATGGAGGGCGTGGAATTGTGGTGGTGCAGGCAAGGAAGGGAGCTCCCGTTTGTAGAGCCCCTGCTATGTTCCAGGTACACAGTAGGTACCTTACTGAGTTAATGTCTTACCAGCCTTTTATCACAGATGAGGAAATATGCTCTGAGAAACTAACTTGCCCAAGATCTATACTTAGGGAGCTTCGAGAAGCCAGAATTTTAGACTAAAACGGTCCTACTGAAATGCCACCCTCTGGGGCTCTGACTGATGGAAGGGCACCCACTGGGCAAACCAGTATTGACCAAATCCATGTAAGCTGCATCCAAACTGCAGGAATCTGCTTCAAATTGTAGCTTTCAATGAAACAACATGTACTGCATTCCTGGTAGCCAGGAAATGTTAAAACTGAAGCTAACAGAAAGCAATATAGGCAAGCAGCAGATAGTGTGTGGTTCCATCCCTGGACTCCCGTGTGGTTGACTAGGGTTTGAGTTCGGGACCCAGAGACTGAAAGCTCATGGCAGGTGTGTGCTCAAAATCCCAAGAAGAGAATGGAGGAGAAGGGATTGTGGCAGGGCCATTCCCCCCAGGGGGTGATTTCTCATTTTCTGTCTCTCTTTCTATGAGCACACATGCCCTATAGCAAAAATCTCTCCAAAAAAAAGTAAGCAATAGAATAGCATGCTGTTTATCCCCTACTTTCCTTTCAGCATCTGTCATGTACTGATTAAGGTGCAATGATTTTTTTCTTCCGCTCACTATATTAATTTAAAAAGACTGGCAATAGATGCGTTCATTCCTATACAAAGGGAAACACCTTCCTTTGCATTTCCTCTTTTTGATCTAACTTTCTTCTAGTTTGCAAGGATTCTGCTGAAATTGAGGATGTTCTTTGCTTCAGGCTTTGTGCAAAATCCCTTGGGCACCTTATTGTTTTCTCACAGCTCCCCGGGAAGCAGGTGCTGTCATTTGATAGACAGGTCTTTCCTATGACCTCATGGCCAGCAAGTGGCTGAGCTATCTGGGCTGTGCGGCCTCTTTCTTTCTCCAAAGAATGATAATCTAGAGAGAGTTTAGAACGCCTTAGGTAAGACTGAGGAGCAGGATGAGGGGAGAGAGAATAAGCCACACGACTTGCCCAGAACCACCAGTTCTTGCAAATCTTGTCCTTTTCAGTTTTTACTGTAGGGCTCACACACTCATGGGGGTGGGGTGGGGGGGGAAGGGTGCTGGTGGGGTGAAAAATCCCCAGGGGGATGGTCATGCCATAATCCCTCCTCCACTCTCTTTTTAGGTTTTGGGTACCCAGGCAGAGGCACCTGGCATGAATTTCACTGGTGCTTGGACTTCAGCGCCCGAGTAGGCAATGTGAGATCCAGCGCTTTAACTTCCACACCACCTGCCGGCCTGACTTTCCCTAAATTAGGTGCCCATGCGGCTTTCCATGGCTACAGTAACCAACTTCGCGGTTCCTTTGCCCTGTGTACCGGGGTCCCCACCACGTGGGGGCCCATCGTCGTCTCCCCACTCCCTCCCGGTCTGCTCTGGCTTCAGTGGCTCTCCATAGGGAGATGCATCACTATCTGACACCCCGCGGGGACCGCTAGGAGAGGCAGCTG